GCCATCCAATAGTTGTGGAGTGATTTCAGTCTGAGCCAAAGTAGTAGACCAACTAACTGACCGACAGACTGACATTGCCATCTATAGCTATAGAATAAGTCTATCTAAATCCATCTGCCACTGTTAACAATGGACTGTGCCTTAAGGCAGGGTTTCTCAAGTGGGGGTCGAGAGATCCTCACTGGGGGTCGCGAGATGATTACAAATAAAAAATGAAAATTAATTTAAAAAATGGATTATTAATTTTAAAAAAAATTAGATTAATAACGTGTGCATAGACATTTTTCAGGAGCGGACTGGCCATCTGTAGAATTTATCCAAATTTATTTTGGGGGTCGCGTGCTGAAAAGTTTGGGAACCCCTGCCTTAAGGATTACTAGTTTTTGCATAACATTTCAGCCATAATTTGGAGTGGAAAGGTTTCTCATAGTTGCCAAGCATGCAAGTTTCAGCTTTCTAAACATCAACATTTGCTTCTTTTTTTATATATATATCATTGTACATTTGAAAGAAAATGCCTCTTGAATACTTTGTCTCCATGTTCTGGCATTTTATAGGTTAATCAATTGCAAAGAAAGGAACAACGGACTATTTGATAATTACAATAATTGCTAGCAGCAGACCTTATAACAGGAAATGAAAGTAGATAGACATCAAACAAGCATATAAATGGAAACTAGGTAACAAAGCCTATATTTAGAGAGTAACAGTGGCTATACATTAAACTGACAGGCAGACAAATGGTCTGATAGCAAAATCAGAAGGACTGGACGTGCCAGTTAAAAAACACAACAATGAGTGGATGACAGTCTAAGAAGAGTTAGACCTACAGACGTCCTGTGATTTAAAGTCTCTCTCTCTGCCTCTCTCTCTCTGGCACTGCTATAATTTTCCTGGGTGGAATGATGGATGAGGCGGTGTCAGCCCATGTTCATTATAATGCACACCATCTATTCTTCTCAGCCAGACTCTCCGCGCTCCAGGAAATGCCAGAGAGGTATTGGAGCCGCGAAGAGAGGAGAAACTCTCATCTGATTTTATGGAGAGAATTTGCTGCTAGGTGTGTTAGCACACGGTGATCCATCAATCACTAATGAAGATACTGCAAGCTACTGCTTGTTCTTAAAAGAAACACATTGCTCTCTGGGTATGAATAAATACCCCTCGATATCCATGCCAGCATAATCCCTTGCAATGTGCTCGTCCTAAATTAATAATGAGCACACCAACAGTTAGCTGTATGCAAAACATGTAGAAAAACATGTAGAAGCAGTGTTTGTCACCATGACCTATTTGTAACGTATTGAAGGCCATTAAAGCACATTCTCTCATACAGCTACTATGAGTGATGGGACACAACAAACACACACTATTTACTGCCAAATATGGAGCAGTTATAGAACAATTGAAGGTTGTGTACGTTCAAGAGCAAGCAGGATTTAACAACATTTAAAACGAAAAGCTGACAGTTGTAGTTTGCTGTCAATCAAATCAGGTCAAACCACACAGAGAGAGTCCCGGATTTATTGGCACAAGCTAGTCTTCAATTAATCACAAAGTTATAATTCTTACTCCACTAAATCTGGTTGCACAATTACAGCATAAGGACATGTAAGTTCGGTCCAATCAAAGGCAATCGACTATGTAAACAGGAAGTCACTGTTCCATTATAAACTCTAACACACATTAAGAAAACAAGAGATTTAGCGGGCAAACCATATATTCAACTTAAACTACTTATTTGTTAATTTATTACTTTTTTGTTTTATTATTGTATAGAAGAATATGTGTTTCTGAATTAGAAACATGAAATCAATTGATGCTAATGTCTTCACTTTTGGCTGCTGATTAAGCAGATTAGAAATAATACCAACAGAAAATCCCCCCCGCCCCCAAACTTTAGCTTTGTTGCTTTTTTAATCCTACTAAAAGAAGTACTAAACGATTTGTAATGCATGTTTTTAGGGGCTTTAATAAACCAGCTAATACTTTTAAATCTTTAGAGAGCCCAAGGTTATAAGGAAAAAAAGACCAACATTGTTTTAATCAGAGTGAAAGTTTTACAGGAAAACTATTAAAACAATTAAAGAGTAAATAACATATTTTACGTGCTGCAAAAAGACTTGTGCCACCTGAATACACATCTGCATTAATTCACGAGTGTATTTACCTCATCTTGTCCATTTACGGAAGAATAAATAAAAGACCCACACATACTTTTACAGAGCCAAACATTAGATAAACACACAAATACGCATCCACTTTATCCTAAACAAGACTAAACACATGGTCTAGACAAACACATTATCTCTAATCACAACAGTAATGCATCTTTTCTCTTCACACACAGTTCAGTCAGTGGGGGCCTGATGAGAAGAATTGTGAAATATTGAAATAGATGTATTCAAACTGATAGCATCTATTGGCTATCAGCTCCGCACCAAGTGAGCCCAAATGTGTGCGAGAGTCTTTTGAAAGCCTTTGAGAATGTATTGAACAAAAGGAAGGAAAAAAGTCTCTAAATGAGTTCTGGATCATTCCTGGAGCAAATGGATCAATAACTGCCAGGCTAAGCCCTCGCTCATCCATCTGATTCATATCTTCCCCTCCCTGCTTTTCAGATATAAGAGGAATCACTGGACTAAATGCTCCCTTTCTCTGGTGATATGTACCAGCTGCAAGCTGTTTCCTCAACTACATAAAGCTGTATGAAGTGATTAATGTCAGAATTGTTCTTATATCAGAGTGGATTGGATATGTCAGTATATGATGATCTTCTCTAGAGATGTATGGCAGCTAAAAGAATATCAGATGTCTATAAATAGCTCTGTTAGATTTACACTTAGGAGAAATGCAGCCTGCACATCCTATAAATTATAAAACAGAAATCAACCTACTGCCACTATGCATCCGTTTATACACATCACATGATGGTGGGTTGATGTTCAAATGTGTCTGTGAGAAAATGTGAAACTCCCCATGCTGCAAAATTTACATTCTGTGTCATGTACTTACCTGGCTAAGATGGCTCTTGCTTAAAAATAGTTGTCTCCTTTATATGATAATGCTCAGTGGAAAACCTGGCAAGGTAAATCAACTTCTCCTGTCACTGTTTGTATGTTCACTAACTGAGTGTTTAACATATAGGCTCAACTGTGTGTTCATGCAGTCACACTGACATTAAAATAGATCCATGAAGCTTGATATTAGCATAAAGATTAAGATAATTATCAAAGAGTGGGGGCATTTAAGAAAAAAAATGACCCTGAATGAAAAAGCCCATTCAACCCAATGTGAGTTTGGAAAATTGCAATCTATTTTAGTATACCTCAACAATGGAATTATGATCAGTGGAAATGGCCATGACATGGGACCTTTAACAATTTTAAAGACCTCTAGGGGGATCCATGTGAAAAGGTCTGCCGCCATTGACAAACCACTGTTTAATTTAGCATATTTTAATATTCATATATTGAGAAGAACCTGTCTACCAAATACATTCCCTAATTGGTCAAAAGAAAATAATGTGAACACATTTAAAGACATGCAGTTTGAAGCCAAAACCAGCAAATCCAGTTACATTTGTAGTCCAAACGTAAGGAGAAACCCAACCATATATAGCACATATTTATGATAAAATAAATAATTTATAACAGCACAAATATTTGATGCACTGACTCCTGGATGGCCTCTTCTGTCTACCTCAGGAAACGGGAGCTGTATTAATAATCTTTTGTTCTTCATCCTCAAAGGGCTCCACCTGCAATATTGGAGAACTGAGAGAAGACCTAAAGCTTTTATAGTTTAAACAAATCCTCCAACAATATGTCTACATAAATATGACAATGCATCAGGCACACATGACTGGATAGTAGGACGTATACAAATACAGTTATGATAAGTCCCACTGTTATTTCTGAGATTTTTTGGATGTTTAGCAACCTTGAAGTGACTCAGTAAATGTATATATTTCTACATTAAGGGCAACAAAATGAATTAAGAGTTCATATTCCTCCACCAAAATGTTAATGCTGCAACATAACTTTTATGGTTCCTTTTATTGCCTGTAATTTATTTTACATTCTTGGAAAGAACACTGTTATCTGGTGATATAAAAGCAAAAAGCCTATTTTAAAAATGCAATATGCTCCATAAAGCTGAGGGAAACTAATTCTCGTAATTCTCTGTTGGGCTGTTAATATGAACAATGAATTTTACAGTGGAAATTGTAATTTATTTTATTTGTCAATAGGAAAACATTGATAAGGACAGATTCAAATACAACTGACCAAATAACAAATACAACTACAAATAACTACATGTGACCAAAATACATATTTTTTGGTGTCATGGGGGTAGAGATTGGGGGGGAGGAATGTTCAATTAGTTTTAATGACCTTGCATACTGCTGGATAGCTTGTGAAATATACTCTATAATACTCAAAAGTCTTATTTAAGTGGTGATCATATTTCACATCATTAATCAAAATCTGCAAAGTAAATAAAGGTAGGCTATAGGAGTAAAACACGATTTACCTCTGAATTATAGTGGAGTAGAAGTAGAAAGCAGCTACATTTTGAAATACTCAAAATGTTACTTAAGTACAGTAGGCTACTTGAGTAAATCTACTTAGTTACTTTACACCCCTGTCAGTAAGTCATTCTGACCTCTATTCTCTCACATCCTCTGTTGTGAGATCTCTATATAACCAATGCATCACACAGCAAACATCTCCATATACAATAACCTTTCTTCAATCACTTTGAATAAACAGACAGGCAGAAACCTAACAACAAAGAGTGAAACAGTCGAGGAACTGCTGACTGTCAGCACATCCTCTCCAGTGTTGCATCCAGTCTCACATCAGAGATCCTAAACAGTGCTGTAATCCCAGACTTTGGTGATCACGTGAGCACAAACTTGGCCAAATGGGAAGGCGAGTCTCGGTAGTATACGCTTCCGACCGCCATTACATTACAATGCGTGGTAGGCTGGACGATCGTGCGCGGAAAGAAAAAAAATGCTCCAGCGGCGCTACGCGTAAAGCAAACACACACAGAGGGTGAGGATGACACATTCGAGCCACACGTATTTACCATTTCAATAACACGCTCCGAGAGATCAACAACGAGGAAGCAGTCTCCGCTGAAAAACCCTGCACATGTTTGAGGATTTAATTCAATAATCAAATCACCATTTCCCCGAAGAAGAAGGATGAGGATTCGCTTTTTTAAATATCGCGGTGGTTTATGAAGAAAATATCTGCAGCATGCAACATTATGTCAACGATCGGCGCCAGACAAGGACTGTCACTTTGGCTTGAACTGTGAAAAAAAAACCAAATTTTTGTCTGCAAGACTGAGGCTGTTGTGGCCGCGCGAGGACGTTTCGTAATGATTTAAAACTGAAAGGAAGGAAGGTTTTTTTTTCTTCAAACCTCGGTCTACAGAAGCCTGCTTGTCGTTTTCCTGGTGGTGGAGAGTAAGAATAGTTTTTCTTGTCTGAACGCTTTGACTCATGATTCGGGGGGTTACACGGGAACCCGCTCGACTTTGTCCGCCTTGCCACGGAGGAGCACCGGGGGCTTTTCTTCCCCAGCGACCCCTCGTCTGCGGTCCGTTTAATTGAAGAGCAACAGAGGGATTAAACATTCCTGCTGCTCGCCTGTTTGTGCGAGGCAGACTGAGCTACATTGTGAGAGGAACGGTTGTGGTAAGAAAGAAGGCTATAAATAGCTCATGCAATTCTCGAAAACTATCACAAGTGGTGCATCAGCTTGTGGAGCAGACGGAATCCGATATCCTGCCTGTAATGTCTCGGCTTTAAGTTAATTGTTTTCGGAGAACGTGTGGTATTTTTAACAAGAAGTTCGGACTCTTAATTTCGCATTTTTGGGGGCTGTTCCTCGGCGCGGAAGAAAAAAAGGAGTCGTTTCCCCATGGATTATGCTCATTTAATGATGAAACTATTAGCGGAAAGGCTGATATGGAAACAGCCTGATCTTCCTCTGTGTGTGGATTGAAATGGATACATTGCTGTGCTCTCCGCCTTTGACAATGATCACATTTGGAATCGTCTGACCTGGTTTGTAGCAATGTTTTGATTCCCGCACACGCTTGGATTTACATTACAACATTATATCCGCTGGGGTTTCATGGATGCATTCTGCACTTCTTTTTGAATACGCCCATTCCTCTGCCCGACCATCCCGAGTCTATTATCTGGACCTCTTGTGAGGTGTTAAGCCTGCTTGTTTCGGCAGACTACGGGAACCTATTTGTCAGCCCTGCTCGGTGTTTGATACCGATGTAGGATTTCGACATGCCCAGCGCTGACGACCCCAACGGCGGACGATTATGACTACAACAGCGAATTGGGTGGCTAACGGGGCAAGCCTTGAGGACTGCCACTCCAACATTTTCTCTCTGGTACGGTATCCATAATAAATCATGCATGACACACACACACACACACACACACACACACACACACACACACACACACACACACACACACACACACACACACACACACACACACACACACACACACAGCCAGTTGTGATTGACAAGTCATAAGACCGTGGGAGGCACGCTTACATGTGTGTCTGCTGTACAAAGGTGAACCATTCTGGTGTTGTTATTCGGTAATCATTAACACGGGTTAATGGTCCGAGAAAAAGCACCATATTGCACCTCTAGGACTGTTATAATAACACATCTCAGCCCAGAGGCTCATATCAACATGATTTAAAAAATACTAACACTTTATTACGTGATTCAAACCAAAAACGTCCCACATAATGCTTAAAATAACAATTTCAAATGCTACCAAAACAAATGGACCACTAATTTTGGCATGCTTTTACAGTACTGGCATGGGTTGAGCAGATAAACAATAGATTAACTCTCATTTTTCACCATCAAGAGCACAGTTTGATCTGGCCTTTATCCTGCTCCTCTTTATAAATAATAATTTCACTGGAAATCTAGCAGGAACTCTGTTGCATTGCCAAGCAACTAACTTGGAGAGAAGGCGTTCAGCTGCCTTTGTCAAATATTTCTCCAGCCAGAGAATGATAAAAAGGTTTTCAGGAAAAATTGTTTGATGTGATGATCTACAGTAATGGCTCACCAGGTTATAAATGGGAAGATTAGTGACAATGTTCTGTGATTATATAAATGGACAAGCATGCACAAAAGCCATATACAAATTGTGGTGATAATAATGTCTCCCAGAGGAAGGTTAATAAGATTTTGACAGACAGTAGCATATAGCAAGCACACAGCGGAAGCAACACTTTCACACTCAGTTTATCTGAGAAAGGTGTTTTTTTTTAGGCAGTATCGTTTTTGCAGTAGTCACTGGTTTTGCGGGTGGAGGAGATTGAGCAGTGCTTTCACAGTTTTCATCCTGCAATCAGCGAGTTAACTGTCCTACTACAACAGGCAGCCAAGTGGAAAGGCATGCGGTAGACCGAGCTCAGGCACAGGCGGCTGAGAACCACAACAACATAGGGGTCCTGAGGGTTTTTTAGGTGATCATGCAGGTTGTCCACCAGCAACAGCACTAAAAAAAATGAGGAAACACGTGTCACATAGTGAAAATGTTGATAGTTGTTTTAAAGGACAAAAGGAAACGTTGTAGTCATCACAGCTTTCAAACTAACAAACAAACTACCAGCAGTTATTCCTTCTTATGTATTTCAGTAGTTTTTGTGATTCACTCAAAATAGTATATTTTGCTATTCAAAAGCATCTTGTTTCAATTTCTGTGCACTGACGCTGAAATAAACGTAACAGCGCTCCAGTATCAGCCCTCTTAAATTCTCTCAGTCTGACATGTTACACTTGAAAACAGCGATTACGCCTCTGTCAACGTCTCAGTCGAGGTGATTCCCCTCGTGGAACAAGCTTTCATTCACTCACCCTGGCGTTGTTGCCGTCGTGCTGGCCCTGCGAACATCCCTTTCAAACCGAGGGAGAAAGAGATCATCCATCAGCTGGCTTGTTGAGAATATTTATGACTGGCTAGTGCCACAGCGGTTGCTCACTGGCAGGGCTCCTACAGGGAAGTCCAAGAGCGAACAAAGCACTAATGACACTCCAAGTGTCCTGGTTAGAGGATGGGACTAAGACAAAGAGACAGACTGAGGGATGCAGATTGCATCCTGGTGTTGAAAATGACATACTTGAGCTACATGAGTTAAGAAGTGTTGGCTGAAGTTTTGTTATCTTAAATGCAGGTGGGAGTATTGATCCAACATAATGTGTATGTTATAGGATTTATTGCTTTAGTTGTTTTCTGGTTCCATATCACCACTTATAATTTGGTGCAGAAACACTTATTTGATTAATTGATATGCATTTAAGCAACTTGAGGATGTAACCTTTGTGTATAGGAAACTAGAGGGAATTTCTTCAGTTCTTCTGATATTCTACTCACCGAAAAAACTTGCTAATTATAATATTCATCAGTTGAATGCATAACTAAAGAATGAAATCTCTAAGGTTGACATTTCCTAACCTTTTTCTCCAGGTCATGTTGGCTATCTTCTTACAAAAAGGTCTCATGGCTAACTGGCGAGTGCTCTGGTATGACAGCCTGTTAAACAGCATTCCTACATGCAATAACCTCGCCCCTCGCTGTTTAACCGTGTGCCTTTGCAACCAGCATCAATAAAAAGTGCCTTTTTAGAAAGTATAACTACACATACTGTGGGACTTTATGAGGATGCAGCAGGTTAGTGTCATGCGCTCTGTGAGGCCGGTGTCACATACTTGAGATTGCTGCCATCGCACAACCCACTAAACAACTGCCTTGTGTTGCTGCTGATCACCCATCTGTGGCAGAAAGCAAACAAGACCTTCGTTAAGTGTGAGAAAAGATCTGAGCTGGTGTGCTAATTTAAATTGGTGACGGAGGAGGGAAGGGTGGAGGACGAGAGGAGAAACAGAGGAATGTTTTTAGCCGAGGAAGGAGTGAGTGAGACTGCAGCGGAATCTGTTTTCATTTTAGGAAAGTATTATGACTGATGTGCATTTCCTGACTGCTAGCCTCAGCCTCTTTGAGTGAGAAATGGTGAGAGTGAGACAGAGCAAGAGAGAAAATTAAAGAGAGAGGAATGTAATGAGAGAGAGAGAGAGGGAGAAAACAGTCATCTTTCTGTGGACTGGGCCGGTTCTTATGATGCCAGAGTCCCAGCCTGAATATGAAATGCTTGGAGACAGTCGAGATCCTCACGACGCAGGAAGCCTCAGTGTGTGCGTGTATGTGCGCGTGTGTGTGTATATTGTAAACACTATAAACCAGCGAGACTCGGGAGACAAACTTCAAACACCCATCACATTATACACAGACAAATACACACACGGATGCATTCACCAACACGGAGACGGGAACAAAAAAATAAACATGCACACACAAACATATGTAACACACATGCACACACACAGTATCTTCCAGCCACAATTGCATGTTTTATCTCATTTTATTCAGTTTTTTTAATACATCCTATATCCCAAGGACGCAGGCCTGTACAAACATAGGTAGAATGCAGCGCCCTTAATTAAAGGACTTCCTCTGTCCCCTCGACAGAGTGCAACACTGGTAATTAAGTGTCCTCAAGTGGAGGTCTAATGTGATCAACTAAGAGGTGCTCATTAGCCAAACTGTATTCCAATAGAGATCTTGCATGTATAATAATGATGCTACTGTTGGCTATGGAAATAAAGTGCTCGGAGATGAGGCAGAGAGAATACCATTAACAGCATGTGTCTTGATTTATGGCAGGTGAGTGGCCGTGCCTTGTAAGAAGAATCAGGTAATCAGGGAAGGTGCCTTTTTAATATAGGCTGTTTGCATTTCCTCGTTATTAATGGTGGTGGATATTGCAAGCATGCTAAGGTATGAGGAAGAAGCAGAGGTTGGATGAAGTGTGTGTCATGATCTGCTGAGCCAAATAATCAATAAAGTTGGACTTATACAGGTCTGTGTGTTGTTTGCGCTGACAGGATACCAACATTATATATTTTTATGTTTATTTAGCACAAAAAGTCTAATTTGTAGAAAAATGTTGCTTGATTGTATAACCTTAGAGCTAGTTAACTTAATTAGAACTTGACTAACAAATGAATGCTAATTTACATGTCATTCTGGCATGTTGCAGATATTGGTAACATGTAGTGATAAGATATTGTAAGACACAAAAGTTCAAACTGTTGCCAACCATTGACTTTTTAACAGTTTATTTTTTAACTGTAAAATATCCCATTCACAATACTTGAACAACCAGATTTTAAGTATTCTTATAAAAAAAGTGTTTTCATGTCATGGCTATTTGTAATGAATATATATATTTTTTCCAAAATATCATTATTAGATATTAAAATTATCATGAGGCACAAGACTTTTAAAAAAAAGCACATACAAACCTTCATTTATAAAAAAAAAAAAAAGCTATATGATTTCCAAAATATCTGGGCACTATTAATGCTATGCAAGGCAAACAATAAAACAAACTAGTGCTCCGTGCTCGGGCCCTAATAAATAAACATACACTACTTGTCAGCAGGATCAATTTATTGTTATTTTTTGCCTGTTCACCGGACCTTTTCTACATGTAATGCATTAAAGATTATTCCCAGATTCATGGGACTATGTGATGAAAAGGACTGATAAGTAAACATCACTATGAAGTGTAATTAATATTCAGATGACATTGAACGCCTGCCAGCGTCCTCGTACACAAGGAGAGTATCCGTCCAGGTTTCCGAGGCTTCACCCCCAGTCCTGTGCTTTGTGCCCTATGGAGCAGCTCCATCTGCCTGCTCCTCACTCCACAGTCCACCCCCGACGCCCAACCTGTGCTCTTGGCTCCGCTCGCTTGCAATTTTGACAGCTAGCACTGGCTTCACCTTGAGACTGCGTGTGGCGCCTCCCCCTAATCTGCCCCTGTCACTACTGTGGGAATCCCTTGTCATCGCAATAGGACTCAACCCGGCGGTGCCCCACCAGTGTGAACATGGCATTCTGTGTGTCAGACATACAGGCTCCTCAAATAGTTTGCTGCCATAACAACATGATTTGTGAACAAGGATTGCTCACTCTTGCCTTCTGTTTTTACTACACAACCTTTTTCTATTAAATTCTCCCATGAGTGTGGTCATGGATCTTATCTGAGCAGCAGGCTTGTCACTGCCCTCTCACAGAGGTGAGGAACGGTTCAAAGATGGACAGGGAGGGAGGGAGGAAGGGAACCACCGCTGGTCCCGGAGCTGGAAGTGGGCCGGGATGGGCTGGAGTGTTTTGGAGCACGGTGGGTTGAGTGTGAAATATGTAAGCCCTGCAGTGCCAGCTGTGATCTATTCTTAGTGCCCGCTGGTGTTCCTGCATGTGAGCAGGGCGACAGAAGGCTGAGCGGGACAGG